AACTACTGTTACATGGTCTGAAATCCAACTTAAGAGTCACTACCTCTGTTCATTTTTCCCACATCATATTTACTGGTTGCCCATAAGTGCTCCAGAATATCACACCATTCTGGAAAGTCTGGGGCCACCTGACAGGTCACCTGCTACACAGAGAATTTTTCCTTTTTTTATTAGCAGCTGCATTGTTCACACAACATTAATGTTCACCATTAAACGCTTCCTAAACACTTCATGGCAGTGTTTCATCACTGGAATGTGAATTTGTAAATAAATATGTAAAATGTGCAAAACAAACTCTGTTAGGATGTGTGTCAAGGTAAGCTATACAATGTAATATAAATGATCAGTTTATTTAGTTATTTGATGTAAATAATCAGCAGATACCAAGTGAAACTTTGGTGGGGGAGAGTAAATGCTGTAATGGATCTGAGAAGGTGTGAAATACGTCAGTGTGTGTCCTGTTCAAACGGAGCCTCGGCCGCTCATTATAGCAACCAGCTGTCAACTCAAAATGACGTGTGATGAGTGAAAGACTTTATGTCAAATCAAATTGTGCTTCACTCATGATTCTTCTTCAACATGCAGGACACTGTTGTAAAGGAAAAATGCACTTGTACTGTTTAACCCATGTTGATATAAATGACATTTTTATGACTCGTCTGTGTGGAATTTATACAGAAAACCTGCAACAATAACAACATCATCTCCACCAGATGAAACTCCACAGCATGACCTGACATTCAGACACTGAAAAGTTCAGGCTGGTCATCATTATGATTTATGGACTTTGAGCAGCATGGTAACCTAGATCTCATTTCAGAGAAGTTTTCAGGTGCTAAATGTGAACGGCCTCCTTGATTTGTCTTTGACTGCATGCTGACTCCGAGTTGCTGAATCTGTTTCAGCCTGGTGTTCATTCTTGTATTTGATCAGGGTCCAGGATACAGACTGGATAAGGCACATTTAGAGAACACATTTAAAACAAGTAAACAAAATAGTTTTTCATGTTACTAAGTTTAAGAACTATATTTTATGTATGAGAGAAGAAGAAAACCTTTGGGTAAAGCAGTTTGGATAAAGACATATGTTTAATATCTGAAAAAGTAGAAATTTAAAAAATCAGAGGAAAAATGGAGAAGGGAAAAATGTCTGACTGTGTGATCAGTTTACTTAATCCAATGAACAACACAGCTCAGCAGCCTTTATATAGCACTTTTATAGCACCACCATCTGGTCGAGGGTGGGGATAGTGTAGCTGGAAGTAAATATTTATATGGCCCTTTATCGCTGAAAAGCTGCATTCGTTTTTCATAAACACTGTAATATTCATCTTTTTCATCATATATTCTACATTTGGCTAATCTGTTGCTGCGATGCTCCTACTCTATGATATATATAAAACTGTGATGTCACTGACATCATCCTTTAGTTCAAAGTTCAGACTGCATTTAAAATAAAACAAAAGTGAGTCAGGACCAGACATGAGATTCCTGCAGTTCATGAACTTGGCTGTAAAAACCCACAATTTGGAGTTAATAACACAGATAGAAGCTCATCGAATCTCTGTGTGTTTATCTGAGAGATAAATCAAATGAAAAATCTACTCATCCAGTGAAATGAATGTAATTGTGTAGCAGCTAAATAAATGTTGGAGTGATTAGAAAAATATTTCACCTTATATCCATTCTTGAGCTTTGAGCAGGATATCTGTGTGTAAACATGAAAAAACAAAACAGTTTTCCTCTTTGAAGCCAAGTTTTGGAGGAACTATGTGACCCAGGTTTGTCCATTATTAAAACCGACATTTATTTCCCAATCATTCAACTTCACCACTTGTGTATAACTCTGCTGATTTTATTTCCTTTGTGTCCGGGGTGAGAGCTGAAGATGGTGGTGGGTCTCCCATGTTGTATGTGTGCAGTTGGTGCCTGGTTCCCTTCACAATTGAGTGCATGTTCAAAAGCACCTGAGTCGATTTTTTTTCCCAAAATTATTTATTTGATGGATCCGCCTTCCCCTTGTGTTGACCATTCTCACCTGCTGGTAAGCCTCAGTCTTGAGCTCCTCTTCCCTGTATGGTTGAATGTGTAGTTTTTTGTTTTTTTTTTAAAAAGTTGCTTTCCCTGTCTGAATAATAAACTAATTTTAAATATTGGAAGCACATCTCCTCCCTCTTTTTAGTATAATGAACCTGTGCACCTGACTGTGTTAAACATATAAATATGCATTAAAGCCACTAAAGTGTCTTATAGTCCCTGTTAACACATGCCTGCTGACACATGATACACAGTAATATGTGTTTGAATACAACCTGAAACCTGTTAATGTTCTGATTTAACAGCAGATTTCTCCACATGCAGGACAGAGAAATTCCTGCCTCTGTCACACAAAAAGTGGAAAATATATTTGTTTGACATTTTAATCATAATAGCAAGGAAATAAACTGTTGGTAGATCCACTTTTTAGAATGAATCATTCATCAGTAAAAATCTAACTCAAATCAAATACAACAAATTCAACATTCATATAAAAAAATCCAACCCTGCAGGGATCAAACATCTGATCAAACACCAGGGTTGGACACAGACTTTCTAATCTGACATCACAAAGTTATTCTGAACCTGTAAATCTAATTAAAAACTCCCCAAAACTACTATGAGGAAAAAAAGGTTAAAAAAAAAGAAAGAAAGAAAGAAAGAAAGAAAGAAAGAAAGAAAAATGATCAGAAAAGGCAGATGAGGTGATGAAGAAGAGAGTGGTCAGTGGGAAAAGGCCAGTGAGTTCATGTAAATGCTGCTTCTGCTGTAAGACACAGATGTAAAGATGCATAAATGCTCCATGATTTTCATTTCTATCCATCATCTTGAACACTGACTATAAATGTGTTCACGTCATTATTGTGTGATTTGGTTTCTTCACGTGTCTCCTTCAGTGCAAATAAAGGACTGTTAGAGTGTGTGCTGTGTGTTTTTCTGAAGCATGACGATCCTTTCCAACAAGTATTTCCAGCTGTTTGTCTCCACTCTGCACTTTAATCTTTTTTCCTGTCATGTCTGTGTTTGTCCACCAGGTGTCTCCCTCAGATCAATTTCTCCAAATCAGAAGCTTCAGATTTGTGGAGACGATCTGCCTGCCAGACACAGCTCAGGGCGAAGAAACATGTCTATCCTCCACAATATACAGGACTGTATCATTTAGTGTCTGTATTTAAATGTATAAATGATCAAGTGTGATCAAACTTTTCATATGAAAAATAATATTAAATGTCAAACATTAAGTATTTAATTTTTGTTACACTTTAAAAGTTCAAACCTCAAACACATTAAGTTTACAGTCATATATGATCAAGAAAATCAACAATCTTCACATTTCAGAAACTGGAACCAGCTTTAAATGTGACTAAAATAATGATAAAACAATCAATTCTCTAATCATTGACTAACCGATGAATCACTGCAGCTCCAATATATTGTTGCATTT